TTACCAGATTCATAATTTTAATAGTTCCTAACAGAAATTTGTTTCCTGCTGAGAAATTATTAGAACCACTGCAATATCTTCTAGCACTTCATACCAACCTTCTGACATGGAAGCCTTTTTCTATGACAGCTAGAGTCAGATCATACTGCAAGGCAGATTTTTATCTGAGCAATGTCACCTTGACAAGAGAATATAGCCACGGCCCTTGGGGATTTGCTCTAGGTCAGTAAAACCTTTTGCTTGGAATACTGCCTATCAGCTGGTTCATTGGGAGACAAAGAGAATGACAAATTTCTCCAGAGGCAGATGAAGTGGGCAGTTGGTGATGTCTGTTTGACATAAGGTTCCTGGCAAATCTACCATGAGTTAAGCCGGAGTGGATCAGAACCAAGAAGCCAGAGCCAGCTTGCTGACAACGTGTCTCTTCGCTGTGGATAGCATGGATCTCAGAAGTGTGCTCACTTATTTGTTTGTCCAACAGGACTTCCTGGCTTAGGACAAATTTTCACCAGAGAGCAGGACACAGTAAGTTTCAAAGCTTTTGTAAGGGAAAATGCTCAAGCCTTTAGTTGTTAGTGGTTTTTTTTCATTTGTTTGTCTGTTGTGGTTTTGTGTTGCGGTTGGTTTTTGTTTGTTTTTGCAAGTAGCTACATGTTAGTGCCTTGAATGGGAATCAGAGGCATTCTTGTAGTGAATCTTCTGATTAAGCACTGTCTCACTTTTAACTCACTTTTAAGCCACAGATAACTTAATGAAACTTTACATAGAGGCACATTTTTTGATTGTTGTGTTGGAGAACGGCCCTTACAAGCTTGCAAAATTTTCTGACCACATTGTCTGACTCGTTTTCCATTTGACATTTAGTGAAACATATCCAGAATTACAAGATTTAAATAAATCTCTCTATTTTAGGTGCAAAAGAACAATAGAAAATGTGTGAAGTTCTATCAACAAAATCCTTTTTCTGTTCAAATAGTCAAAGATTAGTCCTGAAGAGAAACATGCGTATAAAAAAATAATTTGAAATGGGCTTAGGAGGAAGGGAGGCTACAGTAATGCTGTAGGGGAACCAGGTGCAGAAAAGTCAATTTGTTTTTCAAGATGTCCATTTTAAAACAAATATTTTATATCTGTTATCACAAAGGAATAGATTTCTACACAAAGACCTCAATGATGTTTTGCAGAAGGTGCTTCAGCCTTTTGCTTGGAAGGGTTTAACGTCTCAGCACTACTGGCCTGAGCTTGGTTTTGGAACAGCAGCCCTCAAGACCCTTACATAGAACTAGGTTTATGGGTATGAATGTAATTCCTGCAGCTGTGCAAACAGTAAAACAAAGATAGCATCTCTTCTGTTGCAACCCTGCAGATCTCTGAATGATAACAAGGCTGAGAATTTACAGTGGATTCAAGGAGCTTCTCTGCTCTGGAATTTCTTTGGACTTGTCAAAGAGAAGACAAACAAGTCCCTCACTCCTGAGGTGTCACACGCATGTTCAAGGAGTGTAAATATCCAGTGTCATTCCCCCCTTTCAGCAATTTACAGTGTGGCATATTTCAGCTCACTTCAGCCAAGGCACATCAAACCTTGCACCTTTCTCAGAACTGTAGACAAAGTCCAGTTTTCTGGTAAGGAAAGTTCTGGGAAATTCTACCACATTCCAATGGACTTCAAGTAAAAAAGAGCTCTTCTAATGAGCTAAATGAATGGAAAATAGTTCTGCAGTACATGCCATTAGCCTTCTGCTTTTTATTTCCATGTGGATTTCTGTAGGTCTGGCTCTTCTCTCTTTTTGACATTCATATTACTCTCTTGAGTAAATAGAGTTACTCCTCAATACTGTCTTGATATTTCCAGTTTTCTGTATGTTACCTCTTTTATACTGAAGGAACCTCAGGGCATTGTTGGTTTTGGCAAGGGAAAAACAAAGGTTTTGGCAGTTTTGTGAAGTAGTTCTTGGCCCACAGGAAAGCACAATTTAGGACTCTTGAATAGGGATGCTACAGAGACATTTCTATTGCAGTTATGAGGCAAGTAGCTAATAGTGTTGACATTTACAGAGTCTGTAATAACCAAAGTCTACTTATTAACAGCTACAAAGAGATACTGACTCAGAGGGAGTTATGAACTAACACCAGCCACCCTTCATGGCTGCTACTCCACATTTTGCCAGTCTGCCTCCCCAGATGACAGTGCATGAAGTCAGCAGAAGCCATCAGGGGAGAAGCCTGTTGTGTTAGCACTGTACTGCAAAATGCTCCAGCTGTGGTGATGCAGAGCTTTTGCCTGCAGTTTTCATGTTTAGCAACAGAGGGGTGACAAGATACCGGGGTGATAAGGTGAAATGGGTGGGAATCAGCCAGTCCTTAAAGCAGCAGTGAAAGCAATGGATGGTTGTTGACTTGCCACTAATAGTACATAACCTCTGGTCTAAATAATGACCAAAGGGGTGTTTTGTATTGTGCTGTAGATTATCTTGCAATAAGCTATGCTATAGTTTCTGGTTAAGACTGAGCTACTAGCTTACAACCAGACAAATTCCAGTTTCTAACTATGTTTGATTTCTGTTTGTAGAACTGTATAAAAAAAAAAAAAAAAAAAAAAGGGGGGGGGGGGGGGGGAAATACCACCCACTGTTATTACAATGCTTTGATTCCAAATCAGCATAAGGATTCTTTTAGTTCATAAATTAAGTACGGAATATTGCCTCTAAATGTTTCAAAATAAAGCCAACCTATTGAAAGCATTCATTTCTATTAATCATGTTATATAATGGGCTGAATTCAGATGCTATATTTATTTCACTCCAGAGGAAAGATCTCCATAACTCAACTGCATCTTCGCCACTCATGAATTATCAAGTCTTGCTTTGCTTGTGGGATAAATATATCTCAGTTATGTATGCTCTCTTTTCCTCTCTGTGTATCTATATATTTTTGGTGTCAATTTTTATTTATATGCACATACCTACTATGCTCGCAGTGGAGATTGTTACTTTGCAATAAGTCGAAGCAAATCAATTTGGCCTACAAACACAATTTATTTTCCTACTGCAGCATTCTACAGTGTCATCACAGGAGATACCTCTGCAGCCTTCACCGTAACTGTTAAAGCGTGCCATGTGGCAAAGATGCAAGGGGGTCTCACATTTGATCAAGCTGACAAGGAGTGTCAGGTTCCTGCTTTAAGCTGAAACACCAGCACAATGACACATATTTGATGTCATTTCAATGTAGATTGTGACATAGGCCAATTTATGGTCCAATTTATGTCTTGACTTCCTTACCAAGGCCAAGCAAGCTATAAAACGTAATAAGAATTTCTTCAATCAATGTCCAGAGGAAAAACAAATCACTCAGTTACTGACACAATATTGCATCAACACCCTGTAAAGTTCTCACAAGTGTGTGACATGCCCCTAAGCTACAGCAAACATGTAGGAAAAGGCTGGGCATGACAGCATTGTGTCCCCGGAATGGAAGATCCTCAACTTTACAGCTCTTGCCAGGTCAGTCTTTCATCCTTACAGCTCTTCACCTTAAGAGGAAAAAAAAAAATCTTCCTCTTTCGCTTCCCCTTCTCCCAGTTTTAGCTTTTCCTCCCCAGCACTGATTTATTTCTTTCACTGTTCCTTATGCACTGCAGCTTGTTACCTAACAAATCTCTGCCGAAAATGCCCATGTAAGGTTATGGTGGTCAGACACTGACCATATCAGCAAGTCTTTTAAAGGCTTGCATTTTTTTTTTGTTTTTGGATTCTCTCAAGTCAGAAACTCTTGCTCCTCAGCTCTTCTAAAGTAGAGGGTTAGCACATTAACTATACCTCAGGCAGCCGTTAGAAGAAGTTACCAATAGCAAATAGACATGTACAGCACATCTTTTTAATTGGATATGGGATGTGTTTTTTCCTTCCAGAAGTCCAGTTACTGCTGCTATAATATGAAACAAATAGTCTTGCCTTATGGACAACATAAAACAGGTATGAGAAAATTCACACATGGTCTACAATCTACACCTTTATTCCAATATTCTTGTGATTTTGAACATTTAGGACCAAGTATGAGTATTTCTGGTTTTCTGTACTGAACAAGAACAGCTAACAAGAGACTTATTTGTGAAGGTCTTTGCCTGGTAATTTCAGGAAAGCTGCTGTGCAGTTGGTACCAACTCTTTAGGTGGTTACAAAAATGAAAAAGCAAAGGGACAGTACTCTACCCCTGTACTTCTCTGCATACAACAAAAAACTGCCCTCTGAAGCTCATCCAAATACACCACAGGTACACGTACACTGCAGTTATGCTGCTGGCAAAACATTAACATACTTGCTATGCAACAAATGGTCTTTGACCTGATGAAGGGCAGGACACAGGGCCTTGTGTAGGTGCTCCCGGCCCATCTCAAAACCGCAGTAGGGCAGTGGCCAAGGCCCATCCTTAGCAGGCAGAAGAAATGCAACGCCCCAGTCAACTGCTGCAGCCACTCTGATTCCCCCAGCTGGTGAGCAAGGTGGATTGCAGAGCTCTTACACCTAGACACACAGATTCTGGCAAACTATTCCCAGCATTACCTTTGGGAGACTATACTGTGTGCACATCTCATACTATGACTATTCACACCTCCTTACATTTGATCATCTGATTATCTGCAAAGGTTTTCTGTAATGGTTCCCTGGTACTACTAGTAAAATCCCTTTGGCAACAATTCAAGGTACATTATACTTCTATTAGCATCCCTTTGTGTTCAAAAGGTAGATTTTGCTACTCATTTCTAATTTTTTCTCCTTTCTCTGCTACTTTCTTTACTAATTTTCTTGCTCTAACCTCATCACCTGAGCTACGTCAATATAGCACCTCCCACTAGGGCAGTGAACAATTTATGAATTATGTCAAATATAATCCAGTCTCTCTCAACTTCTCCCATGCAACAGAACTATAAATGACCTTTTTTTGTACAGAGATTGTTGTTTTGTTTGCTTGATTCTTTTTCTTTTTTTTTAAAAAAAAAACAAAACAGTATTATTTAGTGTTTTACAATAGAAAGACCTTACTAAAAAAAGATGGGAACTGTGGAAAGAGTAAAAATTTTTCCTGAAGATTGTAAAATGTTGAAATTTAATTTTGTCACAATTTAGAACAGCTTTCCAGTTTCAAAGTTGGCTCCCAGTGAAGACCACTTGCTTTCAAAAAGGCAACTCAATAAAAGTTATTGTAATAATACTTGCTAACGGATACTGCAATATACATTTTCATGAGAAGTGTTTCATTGAAAAAGACTGAATCAAACATTCACATAGTTGCTAGATCTCTTTTCTCTCATCCCAAAAACACACACTGGTGTCATTGTGATAATTTCACATATGGTTTTGATTGAAGCAGGTTCCCCAGATGCCTTGCTAGAGTAGCTTTTCTCTTCAACTCCAGGATCCTTATGAACTAAGATGGTTCCTGTCTCAACTCTATCTCCATGAATCCAGCACAAGCAAATTTCACCCTTTTGGAAAAAGCATAGCTGGATCTGAAGATAAAAGTTCCGCTTTCCTTATTTTGTCAGCCAGGAACTCCTTAGCACTCTGTGCAAGCTTATTACCTCAACTTGCTTGCACATTTCTTGGAGAAGAGTTGCAGGGCCATGTTAGAGATCACATCAGAGAGCCGAAAATTTCAAAAAGCAACAAGTAACTGGGACCATCTATTAACTCTACTCTACCAATAGAAAGCCAAGTTCTATTACAGTATATTTTGGTCACTGTACGAACAGTAAAGGACAGAAAAAATAAGCATTTTAACATAGTACCATAAATCCTACTGGATTAAGTGATACACACACCAAATAGAATGATTTTCACAGAGGAGACATTTAACGCAATAGACACAAGGAGTTCCTTAACCACAGCTTAACAAACATGACAGCATGTGCAGAGTTACAATGGAAGTCATGGCAAACACTTGTAAGGGGAAAGGTGCACAGGAATTTCTTGCTTCAAAAATCTCTTTTCTGTCATTATAGCAACTAACATTACACTGCACATGTATCTAAAAACTGTATCTAAAATTTGTGCCATGTCTATAATTACAGTGCTTCATGTAAAAGTGATTACCTATCTATAGGGTATATCGCTGTGTACCCTTGATACGTGGGGAGATCGTGCAATTGGCCCATTTCTTTTCCCACCATACCATACCAATTCCGTATACCCTAAAAACCAGGATGTGGCATAGAGATACTAAGAGCTATTTTCAATCCCAAGTGAACTCCAAGGAGGAATTTGCCCTGGAAATTAAGTTGTGCTGACAGTACTATCCACAGATCCCCAGTGAACGCGTGATTGCAGCCAGCCTCCTTTAAAAGCTGAGAGTAGTCCAGTGTGATTGAACATTCCCATTCTACCTAGGAAAATCTGACAAAACTAAATCTAAGAAGTTATTTCCCCTTTTTATAGTCTCTTTGTTTATGCAGGCATAGGTCAGCTGAATTTTCAACCTTTAAATGCCACATGTGACGCTAGCTTGCCAAAAAAAGTTGGAAAAAAATTATCAGGACTTGTTACATTTTCCCTTCCAAGCATGAGGTTCTAGCAATCTATTTAAAAACACATATAGCTGATATCTACTTCTATTCAAAATATAAGTTTCCTCTCTCTTGTGTTCTAGCACTCTGAATGCTTCCATCCAAAAGTGGTAAACCAGAAGCTTGCTGTGCTTGCATAAAATAACTGCTCCACTGTGCTGAAAGACATCCAACCTGCATTTCTGCTCAAAAAGTACACTGTGCCATTCTCTATAGTAAATGTACGGATGATCAGGAAGAGTGGCCTGCCCATTACCCAGAGCTGTTTTTCCTGAACTCTGTATGAAAGCCTCCTTTTGCACTGATGAAGCAAACTGACATTATGGGAAGTTGTTTGCCTCTTGAGATCAGATAAGAACTTTTCATGGTACCATGCATGACACTAGCAACCAAATTAAAATATAAGCATAAAACACACTGAGGATGTGCAATAATAATTATGCGACCTCTCTCTTGCTTCATCAAAAGAGAGCTGCAGAGGACTTCAGAGAGATACAGCTCCCACGTAAGTCAAGATGCAGATTATGTCAAGAACCCCTTCTCCAAATGAAAGGGAAAAGGAAATAAACTAGTGGCAAAGCGACTGCAAAAATACATACTGTGCATTGTTAGATTCACTCTTTGAATGGTGATGTGATAAAGCCAAGGTTTGTTGACTCTTATAGCAGTATTGTAGTTCTCACCCCAAAAGAAGCAACCTATCACCTCAATGTTAATTTTTCAGAGCTGGCAGAAAAAAAAACACTTGGGGACAGAAGTGTCTTAGTAGAACACTCACCATGAAGAAAGCTAGAATCATGCTTTTTGCAGCCACAAGGGTAATGTGTTGGAGAAGAACAAAGATATTATTGCTCTGGGAGCCTTGTCTTTTCATGGACAGCTTGGCTCAGCTTTGAGTTGTTGTCCATACAGTGATGTTGGAAACTATCTAGTTGCATTCACCTTGAACAGTTCTTTCCTGGTAGAGAGCCTAAAGACCTTCCCTTGTGGAATAAAGGCTTCTGAAAGTTTGTCTCATGTGAAAGTGTCTCAGTCAGGTAAGGGATTAGGATGAAAATCATCTTCTCCAATTTCCTTTTACTAATTGGGTGATCTTTGAACTCAGACTTGACTGGGGGAAAAACTTAAGTTGCAATGAGAAAAGTGAGGAAAAACTCTACTATCAAGTCATTTTGAAACACAAAGCAATAATATCACGGTAATAACCTTCTTGTAACAAAAATGCACATTTGCATACACATTTTGCACATACAATCTTTTTAAAATGTCCAAACCTGGTTTTCTTCCCTGCTTGAACATGCATATTGGAAATTTTCCCACACTGCTCAAAGTTGCTCCCCAGAAGAATTAACTGGGAGTTTCTCTGAGAGAATGTGGAACAATAACAGTCGTTTGCTCTGCTTACTGGACAACACATGGTTTTGCCAGAATATGCTTGCCAACTGGACATGATTTGTTGGAGTTACCTTGGCATATAACACTGAGATTTTGGCTTCTTTCGGTGTGTGCTCAAGCAACTCTGCCTTCTCTTTTCTCACTGGCTTCATAGGTTAAAGAACAGCAACAGCAAATCACAATATTCCCATCACATCAGCTGATAGGCTAAATATATCCACTTGTGAAAACAAATGGGGTCTCAGGTGTGACTGCATAATTCAGGCTTCCCTGACCACATTCATTTTCTCCCTTATCATGTGGCCACTAGTATACCAACAAGACTCCTGTCACAAAGTTTCTATGATAATCTCTGAAAATGAGTTGAGGGAGTCCACATCCTCCAGACCACTACATCAGAATCTGCTTCAAAACAGCAACTGTCTTCTATCTGGAATCCCCTTTCACCCAAGAAAGAGATCTTGAAGTGAATGACTGCAACACATGAGGGAAGAAAGAGAGAAAGATGGGGAGCTTATTACACAGCTGAGCACGTTACTCCAGAATGAGTGATCTAGTGATTCAGAGTGTTCAGGATCTGAGTCTTTCTTGACTTACACTCAAATTAATTGCACAAACGTTAATGGAATCATGCCAGTGTAAAATTAGCCTGAGATCACAATCAGACTGGGAGACTAATTAAGTTACAGTCCCAATCAGTACTGAAATCTCTGCAACAAGAACGTGGTTTATAAAGCTGTTTCTCCATGTTACCACACACCTCTCTTCTTATGAATTTCTATGAAAACTCAGTTTGATTTATAGACTGTATGAATTTTTTGTTGTAAAGCTGTCCTACACAGTATATAGTCTCATCTTCTCATCCTAAGGAGATGGATTAGACCAGATATTCTGCCTCTATGCAGGTTGGGACTGAAAGCATATTAGCACACAAATGGACATTTTCTTCAATTTTTGACAAACATCAATTTTCTTTAACCTTCGTGGAGAAGGTTCGTGGTTTCACTAGTAAATCTTAATGCAACAGCAACTAGTTATTAATACTTGATGTTAAAAGACATAGATCCAGAGGTTATGTTTCAGTACATTTGAACATACAACACATCTGAAAAGCTGTATTAGGCAGTATGCAGGCAGCTAAGAATTGGCAGAAGGAGAAATTGCGTGTTAAACTAACATCAATACCACACCACCAGCCTGAAGGACTGAGGAGGAGGTTGCAGAGACACAGAGCACGAGCAGTAACGTTAGTAGTAGGTAGAAGCATGAGAGTAACGTTCTTTCACAGGAGAAGGATTTTAACTACAAAACTGATTCAAGGAGAAATAAGCTACCTATGTACTGAAGAAGGAAGTTCTCCATGATTTTGAAGGTATTCTGCTCACAGAGAAGCAACATTGCTTCTGATAGGTTCTTGGCAGTATCTGGTAAAGAAGTCACAGGTAAGCCTACAGACATATATAGAAAAAAAGCATCAAACTCACCCAACTGGTGAAGGGTCTCTACAACACTGCAACATTCCTTCTCAAGAAGCAGCCTAGGTCCAATATATACCCTCCCCTCAGAGGCTGACCTTTACACAAGCCCAGTGTGACTTCACCCTGGGCCCACTGCTTGTGGGCACATGGGTAACACAGGTGCAAGCAACCTGCCTGTGCTCCTTGGGCCAGGCACACCCCTTTACCAGGTGCTTAATCACCAGTTCAAGCCCTGACCTGACAGTTCTCCTACAGAAAGGTAACCACTCAAAAGAAAAGGGAAGAAATTAGTCTTAAATGACATCTAGCCTAAGCTGAAAAGGTAGCCAGGAGAGATCAGGAAACGTACAGTAGACATTATTTGTTTCATTAGAGTTGAATGCTTCTTGTATTAGTCAGAATAAATAGTAATTGTTCTGTGAAACCTTTTGCAAAGTCTCTGTGTGATTCTACTATCAACTGAAGAAATTGATTTCAAATCCAGAGTGCTCACAAAATTGGCTTTCTGGAAAAGGATGTGTTCTGGGTCTGGGAAATTAGATATGACCCTTTTTCTCTTGGGACAGAGTTTGTGTGAACTGTGAAGTCCTGATTTTTGAGAGGATATGAAAAAGATTCTGGGCCCATGATATGCAACAGGGAAGCTGAAGAACGAGTCAGGGCTATCCGCACTCAAACCACAACCCACGTCTCCAACTAATCAGTGTCAGGGAGATTAAGTAGGGAGAAAAATGACAGATTCCTTTAGGAATATTTTGGAAAGCCACAGGACAAAGCTTCATTAGTAACGGGAAAACTGACAGGTGGGTTATGAAGACCAGAATTATACACTAGTCCAATATGTTACCAGTAGCCCAGCTATCTGAAGTTATGTGAAGATTACTTCATTCAATTTTCTTTGTATTACACTCATTTCTTTACATAACCTCTTCAATCAATGGAAGAACTACTTTTCACAGAAGAGCTTGAGAGAAGCAACCATCAGTTGTGATCATTAATTTTATGAATGATTTGTTGGAAATGGCGTTAAATGGCAACATCAACCCACAAATGAGCTTTGAAATGTTCTTATTCCAAGTCTGTGCAGATGGGCAATTTGCTGTGTAATCAGTTTTCACATCCACCCTTTCAATCAGGGTCACTTGTATTATAACTGTGCTCTTATTTTGTAGGTTTATATTTCACAACATATCACAAATGCTGCATGTACAAGTCCAGTGACCAAAAAAGAGATAATTCAGAAAATATAGCAAGAGTATGTCCAAAGACACTTTGAACAGAGATTTCAACAAATATAACACTCTGGGATTGTCAATAAAATAAAGAGATATAGCTAAAGGGGAGCTGCTTGGAAACCAGTGATTGATAGAGCTTAAGACTATTACTTTACCTACTCCATGAAACATATGTCTGTGCTGTAACGAAAGTAAATTACAGCAGCAGTATTCCTGTATGCAATTAAAAAGAAGTCTTATGTAAAAGAGTGATATGGCAACTCTAAATCTAGGACGATGCCACCCAAAACACTTTATGGTTCTCTTAGTGTGTAGATGTGACACTGGAGAAGACACAGAGATTAACCACCAAAGTGATACAGAGATCAGAGTATAAAACATACGGGAAAATATCATAGGAACTGACTTTATACAGAGATCACTCACAGGGGACATTACCATTATGTAGAAGTGAGTTTAATGAAGTAAGGGAATTCTTCACATTAGTACAAGAAGGTAGAACAAGAAGCAGCAGCCTCAAACAAAGGCAGAAAAAGTTTAGGTTAGATACTGTGGTTTTTTTCCTTTCAACAGACAACTTGGGTATTAAAATAGGCTGTTGAGAGAGTATCTCATCTTTGAAGACATGAGTGAGAGCAAATAAAACTTCATTTCGTATGGAAGGGGATTGCACAGTCACTCACAGTGGAGGTGTCAGTTTGAGCCCTATCAGCTCTCCTAAATCAATAAGTCACCTTCGAAATTAGTGGTGGCACATGTGCTGTGTTCCTCAGCTACCCACAGTTTGAGGAAACTGGTGTCTGCCTGTAGCAGAGGGGTGACACTGGCTCACCAGCAAGTCCTACAGTCCCCACACATTTATGAGGATTTAAATAACTCAGGAGTTTTCTTGCAGTCCTTTGTCGTTGATTCCCAGTGGCCTATTAATTATATATCTGACTCTGCCACGTAAAGGCTAAGATTATTTTAGTATCAATTCAATCTGTGGTGCAGCATAGCAACGAAAGTCCTGGAGGTATGGTCAAAACTGATCGACCTACCAAAAAAATGAAGCCTTACATGCAAACTCACATTGAAATTTCTCTTGCAGGGATTTCAAAATACTTTAAAATAGTGCAGGACATTCTTGGTTGGCAAGGTTTGTGGGCATCTTTGCTATGAGTTTAGGATGCCCAGATTAGTTATAAACAGCAAAAGAGCAAGCAAATAACCTCTAGAGGAACAGCAGATTTTTCCTGTGGCTGTGCACCACGCTTACTTCTAAACACAAATTATGAAGGGCATTTGTAGATTTTTTGTCGCTTCATAACAATGTCCACTCCCTTAAAAAGAGAGTTTCCCTTTAGTTTTCACATCTCTAGATATAAAGAACTCAGAAGCACAACTTCTACTGTTGCAGAAACCTCTAGAAAGTACCAAACAGTATTGTATTAACATATGATACCTCTGAACTAAAAGCTAGACTATGCCCCATTAGAAATCTTCCATTTCCAGCACACTGCTCAGCAACCCTTTCTAGCCCAGCTGAGCTGTAAAATACTGGACCTTAAATGGGTCATTCTGAGCATGCAGTTTGTCCTGGGACTTGAGTTGGTTGTATTTTTTTGGAGGTGGTGAGGAGGAACAAGGCAGTTTCCACTTAGAAAGGAGGAAAAGAAATGTCACTCTGCTTGTTTATTTTTTGGTTGTTGTTTCAGTGGTAACCTTTTAGAAGCTACTCTCAGAGGTTCAGAGCATCGGAACAAATCCAGGCAGAGAAATGAACAGGCAGGACAGTGCAGGTGGGGCATTGAAAGACACACAGTAAATACAATTTATCACATGAATTTATCCAGAGCTACAGGGTACCTCTCTGCAGACCGTGATTTGATTCATGTGGACATATCCACATGTATGCGTGCATACACAGAAGAGAATGTGCACGTGTGTATGAAAGAAATTTCTTCTGTACTTTGTATTGAGGGTATTCACTGGAAATGATGTATGAAATGAAATCCCTATGCTCTCGGCACACAGGGAATATCAGACAGAGCTCTGCAATCACTGCAGAGATGGGCTTTGCTATTGGCAGATCAAATGCAGCCAGAAGAGCAAACCAACCTGAAAGACTCTGGGGAAAACAAATATATTTTTTTTAAGTTATAAAATAACGTTCCCACCATTTTAATATCATTTCTCCCATTTTCTGTCCCTCTGGCATTCCCCTGGGCAGTCAGTTACATTAGCTAGTGCCACAGAGAGATAAGAGCCCTCCCCACACAGATTTCCCCTTAAAAGCCCTTCACAATGTGTTAAAATTACATTTTGAATAACACTTTCTAGCTTTTTTTTTGTTAATTTTTTAACATGTTTTTACCAAATGAGAGTTTCTACATGGCAATAGTAGAGAGTGGTCACGGGGGAAGCAGAAGGGGTTGCACTCTTTTCTCCTCCACTCTTGCAAGTGCCATGCATTCAGTGCTGTGTCTGAGAACTCCCCAAAACTGAATTGTCTCCCAGCCATGCCATGAGTCGGAAGGGGAATCTATGACAAAAGGAGTGGCTTCCCCAGGCCTTCCTGTCAGCTGATCCCTGGGCAAGAGCAAGGTGGGAGGGATGTAAACATTCCCCCAGGGATTGAACAGGAATTGACATACCCTGGGGTCGTGGGTCTTCTCTCCACACATCACTGATGCTCCGATGCACCTTAGCACTTCTGGACCTCTCCATTCGTTGTAAGATCATTGCAGTTTGGCTATAGATCGCTGAAGAAGGACATTTATTTATAATACGGAGAGTAGGAAATTAGGCCATTGTACTTCTGCACAGGGGAAAGATTCATAAAAAGTCACACAGAATTATTCTTATATAAGTGACAATGACATCGTTGTAAGGAGGAAGCAGAACTTTATTTGTCTTACTTAAAATGATATATAGAGCACTTGTCTGTTTATTCCACTGCAAACAGCTTCTGCAAAAACAGCGGTAATTCCCTAGGGGGTTCTGCTGATAGTTATAAGTTACTTGAGCAAAATCTCTCAAGTGAGCTACTGCCTTACAGGTAGCCATTATTCTAGATTCAAAGGGCTTTTTGTTGTTGCTTTTTTGTTTGTTTGTTTGTTTTAAATTATGTTCTGTGTAATATTGCTTTTTAAAATATAAATTGTGTCATAACATTGCTACTTTTCAAATAGGTAAGTATGTGTATCTAAATCAAAGGATGCATTGCCAAAGGGGGAACCAGTCAATAAATTGGCTTCCTAATCAAATCTGGCTCAGGTTAAAGCAAAGTTAGTTTGATGGATTCAGCTGAAACCTAGTAAATAGCAGCCTACATAATTAAGCTACTGTACCTTCGTGTAGTCTCCCTGGAAGCTTATGGGCATCTCAAAGGCACAAGAGTGACAATCAGTAGCTAAGCCGAGGAAATGAACAGGCAATATTGCCCACCCAGCCATCATTCCTTACCCCCTATTACCATTATCTTGCCTCTCAGAAGGATTAGCAGAATTTGTCTTCGATTCTTTGATGGGACCATAACATCTTCCTGTAATTTAAAGGTGGATTCTGGGCCTGAAAATCAAATAATTAATATTATTCTACGTCAGAAATCAACACTGAAACTTGGTCTTGATCTCTTTTTCTCTTTTATACAAGCTTATGAACCTATTGTCAACAAAGTTGCAGTCTTCAGCCACAGATTTTGAGGGTATTTTGTAAACAGATGACAGGAAGGAATAAAAAGTAGGAAAGCAGAATACTTGCAGCTCTCACAAAGAGTTTACGTTTACTTGCAGGAGGCAGGAAATAGTGTAATGAATTATTTGATGAGGCTTAAAGGAATGGGAA